AATACCCATTTCTCATATTTTTCACTTTTCTCTAAATTACCTCTATGAATACTCCCTCAACCATAATCAAGTAAAAGAGGGAGAGAGGGTATTAAGAAAGATGACTATGGTGTTTTAGGAAAAATGTGTCACTTTTCGTATAATTAACTAATTTACCTAACTTCCTTAATCTAATCAAATTAGTTAAATGGGTCTTATATTAAGGACCGGAGGAGTATAACATACAATACTAGCACATTACTGATCTAGAAACTTAAAAACTGGGGTGATACAAAAATAAAGGAAAGAAATAGTTTAATTATATCTTCTGCTGAACTGTTTTATATCTTACTCCTTCAATTCTTAATATAAGATCTAATAGTTGAATTGATTTTGGTCATAAATATAAGACCTATTTCTCATATTTATCAGTTTTTCCTAAATTACCCATATTGATACTCCCTCAAGCATATTCAAGTAAAAGAGGAATGAATGATATTAAGGAAGATGATTATGGTGTTTTAAGAAAAACATGTCGTATTTTTTATAATCAACTAATTTACCTAATTTCTTTATTCTAATCAAATTAATTAAATAGGTTTTATATTAAGGATCGGAAGAGTATTGTTTTGGCTTTTGTTGATGTCATTGATGGGTTCATACAGTTTGAATAACTCAGAGATGGTGAAGATCAATAATGAAAGGGAATTGATGATGGCATGTTGAGTGGGTGGCAAGAAAATTGATGAGAGATGAACGTGGCTGGTTTTATGTGTTGGGCTGGCCATTGGGATGAAGTTTCCCAACAATATAATAAAAGTGAAAATTAATTATTTACAAGACACAATTATAAAAGAAAACAATATATGCCTATGGAGGGACCAAATCAAACCAAATTGGACTCTCCCACTAATTCCTGCCTCTCTCTCCCTCTCTCATATTTATATTTAAATTTATATCTTGAAATATGGACAGTGGTAGCTAGTGCAATGAGAGAGTGGATTCTTGTGTTTGCCATTCATAACAATCCATAGAATATCACACTAACACGACAAGAATCACAGAAGTTTCAAGGAAGCTGTCCAAGCTTTGAAGCTTCCCTCAATGATATTATTACACCTCCCGTTCTTAAAAACAAGTTAAATTGCTTAGTTATAACAAATGTGATCTGATTTTTCAAAAATATCATATATATATTAATTTATAAGTTACACAAGTTAGTTTAACAAAATTATAAATATTAGAAATAAAATGGTTAATATATATAATTTTATAACATCTTAATCAACTCTTATATTTATGATCGTAGGAATAGATACCAGCCCGCTCTTACTTTATTACTTTTGTCACATAGTCCTAGCTTTGGTAATTAAGTTTATATATCTGTGTCTTGTATGTACACATGGATAATATTTACATAGAGTGTAGTATATAAGGTAGAAATGTTGGCAAAAAAAAAAAAAAGCTATTTATACTCAATATAAGAGCTAATTTGAGTTCTAATTTGATCATAAATATAAGATCTCAATCTACTTTGTCTCTCATATTTATTCATTTTTTTAAAGTAATTTTTTTACTAATTGTGCATGTTAAATGTTTCATTGAATAGTAGCTCTAGTTAGTACACATAATTGGTAATGATATTTTAGGAAATATAACATCTATTTATTATAAATAACTAATTTAATTAATTTTTTTAATCTATTTAAATTAATCAATTAATTTTTATGTTAAGGATGGAATGTAGTATAAGATAGAAATTCAATATATATGGAAATAGTGGAGTATGGTGGGGATTGCATTTGCATCAAAAGGCAAAAATGGAGGCACCGTCCTTGTCATTACGACATCAACAATTCCCACTCGAAAGGGGCCAAATAGAAACCTCCCACCCCTTCACGTGGCCTACTCATCCTTCTTTGGGCATACCATTTATTTACTTACTCTAAATGTATTTCTCACGGCATACCAATAAAAAATATTAAAGGAAAATATTAATTAACATCTTTCATAATCTTTAAAAAAATATTTATTTCTGAATGAAGCATTCGTTCCCTGGTTTTCGAACCTAAACATCATTTACAGGACGACTACGATGATATGGATTATCAAGAGAATAAGAAATCTATTCATCCCAAATCCAAATTCAAAATTTTAAAATTAAAAGTGATAAGTAAAACTAGATCACAACAATGAAATGTCTAGCAGCCGTGTTTGTAGATTCCATGTCAGCGCATGTGTTTTCTTTCACACTAATAACTGTTATCAGTGAGTAGATCTATGTCAACAAAATACTAGCTCCGGTCCTTAATATAAGACCCCGTTTGACTTTTAGTTTGATCCTAATTATAAGACCCCAATCCATTTTGTCTCTCATATTCATGTATTTTTTTTCCAAAATAGTCCTTCTAATAATGATAATTCTAGTCAATACACTTGATTAGCAAGGATATTTTAGGAGATTAAGGAAATAAGTTAAGTTACACATATTTATTACAAATAACTAACTTAACTTATTTCCTTAATCTCCTAGAATATCCTTGCTAATCAAGTATATTGACTAGAACTATCATTATTAGAAAGACTATTTTGGAAAAAAAATGCATGAATATGAGAGACAAAATGGATTGGGGTCTTATATTTAGGACCAAAATAAAAGTTAAACGGGGTCTTATATTAAAGATCGGAGGTAGTACATACTGTTCTCGTTCTTAATATAATATTTATTTAACTAATTTAAGTAGATTAAAAAAATTACATATATTAGTTAATTATAAAAAATATAACATATTTTTCTTAAAATATTAGTATCATCTTCTTTAATATCCTCTAATTATGGTTGAAGAAGTATTAATATGAATAATTTTAAAAAATTGATAAATATGAGAAATAGATCTTATATTTATAACCAAAATTAACTCAATAATTAAGTTCTATATTAAGAATTAGGAGAGAATATATGTCATTTAATTTAGTGTATCGGATCAATAATGCGTCATCCATGCTAGGATCAAATAATTATCATGAATCATTATTTATCATTTTATTGACATTATTATCTTCTTCTTTTTTTGTACAAGACATTTAGATCTTTTTGTCTGAATCCTGTTTAAAATTCTTGACATCCTATGATTCAAGAACCTTCGGTTCTATATAATATTAAAGAGGAATTTGATCGATGAAAGTTACACAGTAGTATATTACAGCCAGTTTGGATTATTTTATGAATACTACCTACTGATAATGACTTGCCCACAACGTACGGCGAGTTAATGTTCTGTCATACATATATGCGCGTCTGTGTATATATATTTTTTGAGGTTCTGGTCTCTCTGTGTGAGTGTGCATGTTTGCACAATATCACATTGCCATAGAGATTAAATTGAAATGGACTAGTTTGTCCTCATGCATCTTCCATATTTCAAATTGGTTCCTGATCTGATTTCTTCTCAAGAAGTCGGAAAGGCTGTACCAACGGTATATTTTATGATATCTTCATTCAATCGTTACATTCTTATTCTCTCATTGCCATTAATTAAATTGTGCTTCTTTTTTTATTATCTACATATCTGATGAAATTTATATATATATATATATAAAAAAGTCTGCTGGGATTATATATAGAAAATATAGAATATATTATTGGATGGCTCAGATTATGTTACCACTGAGGTTGAGGGGTTTCAATTACGAATGAAAGTGACCCAAAATTTAAACAAAAGTATTGCATTATTTCAGAATTTTCCACTTCAAAAATAAATTTGCTACAAAATCTCGCAAAGGCTGTTCCCAATAAGTATCAATAAAATAATAAATTTAAAAATTATGAAAAGCTAGGATCATCAATTGCACCAACAGATTTTATTCTTTTTCTGAAAATTCAAATAAAATATAAAATAACAAATCAATTATCAAACATCAATGAACTGAGAACCACATCAATTAAGTAACAATTTGTTCTCCTTTTTGGGCAAAAAATAGAATAATATATGGAAACTGATTCCATCCAAGTATACTAAAATATCTCCAATATTAAAATGTAAGGAATTATATTATCTTATGTAGCCATGCAACTTGCCAAACATACAAGGCAAATAATCGGTGGGGTGTTGACTTTTTGTACATATTGCGGCCACAATTTAAGGATACCCTATGGGGCTACTAGGAGATTATTATAGGACCTTCTTTTTTCCTAAATCATATTTTAATTATTTCACCTTTTTGTGTGATGGCACCAAAACACCTCGTTTTGACCTTATGAAGCATCAATCACTCAACCAACCGTCTTTTTTTAAAAAAAGATTTTTCTTTGCCAACCCAAAAAAAAGAAGTATTACTGTGACCATTATATGTTACTTGTTCTTCTTTCTTTGGTAATGTAATGTACACAGAAAAACAAACAAACAAACAAACCATCTCACTTTCCTTCCTTAACCATACCGTTGGTTAAATGTTACTTAAAACCTACAAAATTTAAATTTCAGGTAAAATACAAAATCCAGTGACGCACTCCAAAACAAATGTTTGGTAACCCCTCATTAATTTAGTAATTTATAAACCTAATTTTTAATTTTTAAAGTTGGAAGGCCCGCTCTCTGCTTTCCACGTGGAAATTCAACTGTACGAACTGGACCACCTCCTGGCCCACAATTTCCCTTTCTTTCCAACCAAAACCCACAAATCATTAATCACAATTAAATTAAAAACAATTAATTTTAATTTTAGTTGTTCTGTGCAACAAAAAGCGAACCTCTCGTCGTTTCCTTTTTAGTTTTTATCACTTTCTATGGATCCCTCTCTCTTTCTTCTCCACCGTTCTTCAACACACTCTCCATTATCAAGAAACGAACCTTCATTCCTCCACACGCCTCATATCTCAATCTCACTTCGTGAGCTCTCAGGATTTCGAATCCTGTTGAGAGTTTAAAGTTGTCGTTGTCCAATTGAATGTGATTACTTACGTGTGTGTATAATGCTTTGAGCTGGAATTAGCATATCTCTACCTTGTGTGTTTGTTGAGGAGCACCGAATGGGTCTCTGTACTTCAAAGCCCTCAGCGAATCTGACATCTACGTCTCCCAAATCCGAAACTGAATCGCCCAGGAATAACCAGGTACCACCTAGAGACGACTCTGTGCCTGTTAGTGAATGTCCTCAACCTCATTCTAGTTCTGTAAACGGAGAAAACCCTAGCAAGGAGAAGAAAGAGGTGGAGAATGGGAAAAAATCGCCTTTCTTCCCGTTTTACAGCCCAAGTCCGGCCCACTATCTGTTCTCGAAGAAGTCTCCGGCGAGATCTCCGGCGAATGGGAGCTCGAACTCCACGCCGAGAAGGTTCTTTAAACGCCCGTTCCCACCTCCGTCGCCGGCGAAGCACATAAAAGCTGTGTTGGCTAGGCGGCATGGGTCGGTGAAGCCGAATGAGGCAACAATACCAGAAGGGAGCGAGGCAGAGGTGGGTGCTGCGCTTGATAAGAGTTTTGGATTCTCAAAGCATTTCGGGAACAAGTATGAATTGGGAGATGAGGTTGGGAGAGGTCACTTTGGGTACACTTGTGCTGCCAAGTTTAAGAAGGGCGAGCTCAAGGGGCAACAGGTGGCTGTGAAAGTTATCCCGAAAGTGAAGGTTTGCAGGAACATGCATATTAGTTACCTACAAGTTGCTATTCCAAATTATTACCACTTTTCTGAATATAGGGCGATTTAATCCTCCCTTATCTTACCCAGCTGGCCGGAATTGAGTTTAGTTACTGAAATCTTGTGGAATAGGATTTAGATTCTACTTGCACTGAAAACTAGTGATTTTTTTCACCCAATTTTGCTGGTTACTGATAACTTTCTTGTCGTCGGAAAAATCATTCTTTCACTTTATGGGTCGGTTTAAGTGGAAGGGAAGCTGCATCGTGCCATCCACCACACCAGCTTATAATCAATTATCTTGGTTTACGAACTGTGGCTCTGTTCGGCTTGCTATTTTATAGCCGATTGATCTAATGTATTATTAGGCTTTCCAATGATGGTGGTCATACATGACTTCTTGATCGTATTTTAACCAAACAGTTAAAATTGGAGCCATAAGAAGATTCTATGTTTTAGGAGTCAACTATTGGAAAGATCCTGAATTATGCTGTCCAAATATATAGAAACTTGCAAAATCTTGAGCAAAATAATATGAGAAATTTCATTATTGAAGATCAGTTTCTTGATTTCTGGCACCAGCATTCACTTGAATTAGTTTCATTGCTTGTAATGCACTTCGATTCAATAGTTTCATACCAGTTGCTGTCGAGCAACATTCCTATTACGAAACTTTTATCATGGTTTCAACTTTTTCTTATTGGCAACATGTTCGCAATAACGTGCCTTGGATCTTCTGTGACAGAATTTGTTTAGCATGGTGTCCATACCTTTTACGTAATCTGTAATTTTTTAATCTCAACGCTTCTTGCATCTTCAAGTTTAAAATCTTGTCTTGGGTGAAAGTAAAGCAAGTTATTGGGCTAACATCATTCATGGTCAATGCTCATTTGCGTGTATGTGCCTGTGTTTCCGCTTATGTGGGTGGGTGTGTGCAAGTGTGCGTTTTTATCTTTAAAATTTATGTAGTTTATATGTTAATCACTTTTAAATTTTTCATCTTTGATTTCAGATGACCACTGCCATTGCTATTGAGGATGTAAGAAGAGAAGTAAAAATATTGAAAGCTTTGACAGGACATAAGAATCTTGTAAAATTCTATGATGCATATGAAGACCAGGAGAATGTCTATATAGTAATGGAGTAAGCTCTAGTTCTGGTTTTCTTTTATTTTCAAGCTACCAGTCATCCAATGTGGACATTAGAAATGAAATTGTTTTCTGGCCCTCTTTCTTTCGTGACTTTGGTGACTACGAATAATTAGTGATAACTTATGGTGAAACACACATGTTTCAGGTTGTGTGAAGGAGGGGAGCTGTTGGACAGAATACTATCAAGGTATATATTTTGGCAATAGATATACATTCTTTTCAATGTGTTAAATCTGGATACTGACAGAGTAATAGCCAGAGTGGATAAAAGCAGAAATTATTGCAAGATAACATTATTTCTAGCGTCTCTATGACACCTGCTTCCTCTTGCAGAGGTGGAAAATACTCAGAGGATGATGCAAAAGCTGTAATGATTCAAATACTTAATGTTGTTGCATTCTGCCATTTACAGGGTGTTGTGCACCGCGATCTTAAACCTGAGGTGAAATATATTCTCAAGTTTTGCAATTTCCTTTTCTCTGCACTGTTGAGTTCTGATCACGCCGATAAGATGAAATTAACTTTTATTATTGATATGGGACTTACTCTTTATCTGAGAGCAATGAGCTCCCCCAACACCCCCCCCAAAAAAAAACCCAAAAACAAAATAGAGAATAAAAAATAAAAAAACCAAGGTCAGTCTGCAAAATATAAGATAGCTTTATGCTTGCAATTTTCTTTACTCGGAGGAAGAGGGGGATAAAAAACGTAAAGTAACAGCCCAGAGTCTATTTATATAGTATTTGATTAATTATTTAATAAAAATGGTTGTTTGATTTGGTTTCTGTGTCTTATTTTTTAATTCTCATGAAGTATTAACTCGTATGTATGACTAATTTCTGGATCAGAATTTCTTATTTACGTCAAAGGATGAAAACTCAGACCTGAAGGCTATAGACTTTGGGTTGTCAGATTTTGTAAAACCAGGTATGCTTTGGGTTCTGTAATGTAATTTGCATTATAATGTAATAAATTGGACTTATTTAAGGTTTAATACTTTTCATTGTTTGCAGATGAAAGGCTCAATGATATTGTTGGCAGTGCATACTACGTGGCTCCTGAAGTCCTACATAGATCCTACACTACAGAGGCTGATGTCTGGAGTATTGGTGTGATTGCATATATTCTTTTGTGTGGAAGCCGTCCATTTTGGGCCCGGACTGAGTCTGGAATCTTCCGTGCTGTACTGAAAGCTGATCCAACTTTTGATGAACCTCCTTGGCCTTCTCTATCGGCTGAGGCAAAGGACTTTGTTAAACGGCTACTGATTAAAGATCCACGGAAAAGAATGACAGCTGCACAGGCATTAAGTGAGTTTATTATCAGCGGCTCTGAGTTTGCTCCTATTTCTATTCTATTACTCACTCTCGTGGATAACAGGTCATCCCTGGATTAAAAATTACAAGGATGTGAAAGTACCTTTGGATATTCTAATATTCAAGCTCATGAAGGCATACATGCGCTCCTCATCTCTACGGAAAGCAGCTTTAAGGGTGTGTATATTTATGTAGAAACTGTGCTTGCGTTCATATATTTGATATCAAATTAATAGCCATTTATGAATAGTTTATGCCTCCCTTCTTGAGTTTCTCTACTGAATATGTCCTTCCAGTTAGTTTCAGCGTTATTCTTAACATATTAATAGATGCACTACTTATACAAAAATTTATTTATTATTAATATCTGGTTAAGGCTTAAAGAGTTTATTATTACTTAAATAATCTGAATGGCAAACCCATTGATTATCCCTCAGTGTTTCCCTCTTGTTAGGCTTGAATTTACCGTGCATAAAATGCTTCCTCCATTTTTGAAGTTGAAGACAGGAAAAAGAAATTTACATTTACTGTACTTCTCTTCCGAGCAATTTTTGTATTTGCTGAGTGTTGCTTTTTTAAGTGTTTATTTCTGACTTTTTTCCTCGTTTACTTCCGTTTTCTTTCTTTTCAATATCAAGCTTAAGCATGCTATGCATGTATGTTTCCCCGAGCTTATCAAAGTCATTGGTATTGGGACAGGCACTGTCCAAGACGTTAACAGCTGATGAGCTATTTTATTTGAAGGAGCAGTTTACACTTTTAGAGCCTAACAAAAATGGTACTATAAGCTTGGAAAATATCAAAGCGGTGGGTTTCTTTCCAATTCTTCTGATATACTATGTTAAGAAGATGATGTTTGTTATCTAATACATTTGAGCTGGCCAGGTCTTAATGAAAAATGCTACAGATGCCATGAGAGATTCTCGCATTCCTGACTTTCTGGCATCAGTAAGTGCAAGGGCTAGTCTTTGACTCGGCATATGATTCAATAGGCAGCTTGTATCTTTAACAATAATTGATCATAATCCTATGATTTTGGATGGCAGCTTAATGCATTACAATATAGAAGGATGGATTTTGATGAGTTCTGCGCAGCTGCACTCAGTGTTCATCAACTTGAAGCACTTGGTCGGTGGGAGCAGCATGCTCGCTGTGCCTATGAACTTTTTGAAAAAGATGGGAACCGCGCTATTGTCATTGAGGAACTAGCTTCGGTATGCTTGATTTGAATAAAAAGATAGTTTTTGTTATGCATGCATGCCAGATAAATTCTGTATGCTAAAAACACATGGGCATGGGTTCGAGCTGGTAGGTCCTTTGAAACTGTCATTCTCCCAATATATGCACGGATGATTTTACACAAGCGAAGACATCTAATAACACCAACTTCAGTGGTTTCGCAATATCACTAGTCTAGCTTCTTCTTCTTCCTCCTTTTTTTCGTTTTTTGAGTGATATATCACTAGTATAGTTTTTCGGATACTATGGATCATTGTAGTACCACTGGCATATTAAGGTCAATTTTTTTAATTAGCAATAGCAGTACTTGAAGTCATTTAGTTTAAATGTCTCTATACCAAAAAGTTATCAGCTTTGGATGCTGTTGCGGGATAACATTTCTCATTTATGGTTTCAACTAAATTATTCAGGAACTTGGCCTTGGCCCATCTGTCCCTGTTCATGCTGTTCTTCATGATTGGATTAGACACACTGATGGAAAGTTAAGCTTCCTTGGCTTTGTCAAATTGTTGCATGGACCATCTCGAAGTCTTGCTAAGGCTCAATAGAAGATGGTCGGGAGGACTCACACAAGATTCAAGATGGTTCATACTGGCCAAGAAAATTTTGGTCAACAATCTTCTTTCTCCTTACCACCATCTTTGCCACTGTTACGCTAGGCTCAGTCTAAATTATCCGAGACTTCTCCACTTAGAGGACTCGAGCTCGTGTGCACTTGGAAGAGGAGTAAGAGTAAACCCTGCTCCTACAGGCGTTTGTGTTTTCCACTGTAAAGTTGTAGTGTGTTAAGTTGCAGGCGAGAATATTTTCTGGTTGTTATTAGATGGTTACACGTGATATCCTAACACGATATGAAATTAACAGACGAGGAGTATCATTCTTGTCCCCATCGAGAATTATGAAGTCGAAGGAAACAGGTTATTGGGGGCTGTTGAGTTCTTCCCACCTTTTTTTATTCACTTGTTTTTGCCACTTTTATTATGTAACGGTATGTTTCTGATAGAAGCAGTTTATTTGACTGAAACTGTACATTTGAAGTAGATGCTGCCCCGTCTGCTCCGAAAAATCGTGGCCAAATCGCTAAAATTAGCAAGTAAAACCACACTAGAAATATGAATTTTAAGATAAATGCGGATGGGTTGAAGTTTCTGAGAATACTTGTAAGAAATGCTGGTGTTGCCAATCTTTTTTATACGGGCAATTGAATTGGTCGAGACATTAACGTAAAATAATTAACAAATTTTTTTAATAAAATCAAATTAGTCAATTAGTTTTTGGCAAATGTAAATAATCATAAGGTGCAAGTATGCAATTGCAACATACAGGGCGAATGATTCACCGGAAAAAGAAGAGGCAACAATGAATGTGGTGGAGCCCGGGGAGCAGAACTACTAACACAGTATAATGAAGAGTGAGTGTCTCATTTACATCCCAACCCCTTCCATTACGCATTCCACGCTGCGGCGCTGCCCAGCATACTCAACAAAAATAACTAAATTAAGCTTATCCATGTTTTGACATTTACAAAATACAAATTGATTGATTTGATTCCAATTAAACATATCACAGTTAATGAGACCCACTTGTGACTTCAACAAGAATAATGGGGTTAAAAGGAAGTATTGATCTTTACGTCTAAGGAAAGTAGTAGAGGACTGAAATTTAACGTATAAGATTTGTAGTACTCTTAGCAAGATAACTTGCACAATGATCATAATTTTAGCTTTAATTCTCTTAAAGCTTGTGAGGAAATAAAATCTTTTGCACCTGCTTAAGCTCTTCAGCACATGATAATGATAATTTGCGATGTGCAGTGCCAAAAATTCAGAAATAAGACGGAGCAGCAGATGGATTGTGATAGGAACAGGGAGGAGTCGTTCAAAGTCCCACATCGGGAAGCTCACGACAGTTCCTATAGAAAGGCAATATAAAAGCAGAAGCAAGCATCCCTTCCAAATTCACGCAGCCACGCAGTGAGCACAGAGCGAACTATTCTTTCGCCTTTTACTAAAGAATACCGTGTGCTCGCTGCTTTAAGTGGCATACGCCTATTTTTGGGAGGGTCCCGCTATTGGTGGGGTCCTACATATCGGTGTTCAAACTTTTCTGTGGACTGTGGCAGGGTTGGCTTCTGAAATTTTCCTCGGGCCTGTTTGGGTCACTTTCAAAATTGTAGTTTTGGTAAAATGTTATTTAGGACTAATAATTTAAAATTATTGTTTGGGTCAAAATTATGGTTTCAGAAGAAGTGAATTCATTTTGTTTCTGGTTCAAATTGGAATCATGGTTTCAGAAGAAGTGAATTCATTCTGCTTCTGGTTCAAATTGGAAAGATGATTGTGCCTAATTAGATCTATTTCTCAATTATTTTTTTATAAACATATTTAACCTTATATCTTATAAACATATATACACATATTAATTATTTATTAATTACATTATCTTATGTATTATTAATTATGTTGGTAAAAAATATATTATTAATAATTTTATTTCTTCAAGTTAAAATATATCATAAAATTTATCTTTTATATAATTATCATATTAACTTATGTTTTTTAGTAATTTGTATATATAAAAAGTACTTCTGATAACAACTATCCAAACACTTTTACTTTTCAGAATCACTTTTTTACAAAATCTATTCTTCTCAAAAGCTATTCTCCAAACTATGGTTTGGTTTTATCCAAACACACCCTGAGATGATCGAGTTCTTATTAGAAAATTAAAAAGGAGTTTTCCTAATCAACTTTTTATTAGATTGGTGCATAATGACGAAGGTCAAATCATCCAAGGGATGTAGTGACCCTGTCCTCTTCCAATACTCTATTAATAATTTATCCTGTTTTAACATAATTATATATGCTCCAACTGTAGAATTTGGGGGTGAATTATACTCTCTTTGCTCTCAATTATAGGATATTATAAAAGTTATTCATGATATAGGTTAAAATATATGAAGCATTTAGAAGTAGGATCTTTGACATCAACCATAGAACAATAGAGCGGAGAGTCTCGCGTATTTTTATGAGGTGTTTAAATACGCTAAAAACATCTAAAAATAAGTACCCAACACTTGGGAGTTTTTTTTTGTTTTTGTTTTTATATACCCTGAAAGTTTATTTTCATAGCAAAAATGTTCTAGTTGTTTTTCGCTGTTAAGTTTGACTGTTAAATTTAACTATCAAATTTAACGGCAAATATTGGCTTAAGATAGAAATGTTTCGAAATAAAACTTTCAAAACATATAAGAGGAAAAAAAAAAACCTCCAAGTGCTGTGTGCTCTTTTAAGAATATTTCCAAGATATTTAAACGTCTTATCTTTTTTTAATGTTATTAGACTGAAAATGTCTTATAAATAAAATTATATTGATTGTTGCTTGTATTTTATGAATAACATGAGTTTGATAAATATTGGCCCAATTGACATACATGTTGCTGATTAATGACTATGTCCAAAATATACTTAATATTTCAAGAGAAAAAATTGTTACTTTAAATTAAAATTACCCATGTGTTGACATTTGCAAAATGAAAATTGATTCTAACTTGAATTTTACATGTTTTTATATAATAATAACATGCAAATTATCATGAATGTTAATCAAGAAATAAAAAATTGGACCGGACATTAAATCAATTGAAATAATGGTTTAAAAGTCAATTTATTGGATTGGGATAACTCGGAGTTAAACTGATCATATTAAAATAAAATAATTTAATTGAAAATAACAAAATGCAATAATATTAATAATCGCTTATAACAAAATATAAGGAAATATAACAATAATTTGATTGTAATAATAACAAAGTACAACAACATTAAGAATTTTGATATATACAATTCATCAATAACTAAAATTAATAATCATTAATACTAAAATCATCACTAAAATTCATTCAATCATAGTGACTGAAATATTAAGAGTTGAATGAGAAAAAAATATAATCAATAGCAACATAATCATTTGAACCGATTCATTATCAGTTAACACTGGTTTTTACCGGTTTGATACCAGTTTAATGTCTAAATCCAACCGGACCTTTTCTGGTTAAATCGGCTAGTTTGATCAGTTTTTTGTTTTATGATGTTAATTTATAACTTCACACCGTTATTAGTTATAAAATCAATGTCAGTCAATGTTATGAAAATACAATCTTCAACAGCAACGTAATGTATATTATCCAACACTTCTTTGCAAATTCCATTTTGTAGATTCATCTAAGTAAATTCATACAAATTGTGAAATGCATCCTTGTGCAGTGCACGAAATGAAGCTGATCAACAAAGAGGCGAATATGTGCAATTACAATGATATATTTGCTCACTTGAAGCAGCATATATACGTAGAGAGCAAATGAGCAAACTCAAAAGAATAATAACCACGCGCGTTTATTTATAGCCTGCCAAATCATGAGAAACCAGCCTGGATCTGCTTACATATGAGAGAAGGTTTGGAGAAGTTAGGAGAATAAATTAGTGCAAGTGAGGAAACGAAGGTCCATCTGAAATCGCCAATGCACCAGATCTTGATCCTCTCTCTCACGTCATTTCTTTATATACGATAACCTGTCAACCCACAAAAAATAATGGGTTATGGTTACTAAATAAGTTTTTTTAACCCGCACCACAAGGCTTATAATATGCCATGGGCTAACCCACATTTATTTTTTTGATTTGTAAAATTTTTTAATTATTATTATATATTGTAGTATATCTTAAACAAATATCCGTATAATTTATTTAGTGATTTCAATCAAATATTTTAAAAATAAACAAAAATCTTATTATATTATTTTGGATATTGTATAAAAAAAATTTAAAAATAAAAAATTTCACCAAAAAATGAATAAATAATTTGTCCCGGGTTAGCGTTGGCTTAAAATCATCTCACTTTCAAAGCTTTTTGACCCGACAAACCGCGAGTTGACCATGCACAGAAGATGAAGAAAAGGAAATGGATAGAATGGAAGAGAAAGGGCAAAGCACCATAACGTTGGGGGTGTTATAGCTCGGCATGTCTGAATCATTGCCTCAAGGTTTTGCGCCTTTTGCTGCGTACCACGCTACTCCCTGTCCCTGGACTCGCTACAGCTGTAATTGAATTGATTCGCTATCAATTGTGAGTGGTATCTTAAAATAAAAGAGCACATTTTGTCATTCAGAAGCATACCAAGTATCGAGAGGATAGAAGGCAGACGTTATATATAACGTATCAGATTTACGTGGCTTAATCTTCACAAACTTCACCACAAATAAACACGAAAAATTCCAACATTGATTCTAAAATTAATAAGAGGGAGACGTACGGTTGGAATCAAGTAACGAATCGACAGTTGATTTAGATATGATCTTAAGAGAACCTGTCTCTTACAACTTTAGTCATAAAGACACCACGAGATTGATCAGTCTCCTAATACTGTTAAGTATTCTCATAAGAATATAAGGATGCAAGCAAAGCTCACACAGAGAAAAATAAACCCAATTCTCATTTATCTAAGTCTGAAAATTCAATTACAAAAACGTAGCCTATATATAAGCAATTATAGAAGACCCTAGAATCAGCATCTTAAGACATAAATGCTAGAGATGATACCTCATTAATGATTATTTGACTATGAGAGACACTATTTATTACATAGAAATAAAAAGAAATAACTTGAACTTCAAGAACAAATTTGCTATTTAAAAGAGGAAAGTAAATCAAAACATGATCTTCTAGAATAATCCTTGACCAAAAAAATGAATTTAAATCATAATCAATTCATAATGATGCTTTCTTGATCCTTCATTCCTTCTTGAAGGTTCTTGAACGTCACTTATGATCCTTGTCCAAGACATATGCTTGTCACATAGTATTTTAAGTGAATTCTTTAATCTGAACCCCATATGGGCTTTTTACATCATCTTGTTGGGCTTCTAACAATGTGATCATCATTTTTGGACTCCTTTTAGGCTCACTAAAATATACTTCCTCTAAATAAATGGGTTCTAATTTTTTTAGCTTTCTTATTTGACAATTCAGGATTTCTTTCATA